TTTGAACCAAAAACAGATGTTTGCTGGGTATTTTTTTTGTTTATTAAAGCTTGATTTGGTGATTTAAATTGTTTTATCTGTTTGCCTGAAATTTCTTTAGAACTCAAAATCAGCAAAAAATTAGATATAATTCACTCAGATTTGTATTCTGATGAGTATCATAGCAATCAAATTTGAAATTTAACGTTTTTGAAATCAGCGCAACCAAAGAATTTCAATAAAGTCGGAAATTCGGTTTTCATTTTTAGTTTTTTCGATTTTTCTTTTAGCGTAATTTTGTTTTTCATTTAAGATTTTTCGAGTTTTGATAGAAAAAACTGCCGTTCAGATTTATTTTGCGATTCAATTAGTGATCATAGAAACAACAGAACAAAATTTCTGATTTTATTAAAGATCAGAGAACTTTTAGTGATCGGAGAACTATCGAAACAAATTTTCTGGTTTTATTCTGGTCAGAAAAATAGCAGATTTGAAACTGTAACACTACTGATTCAGTACTATTACAGTACCGCAGTTTTTTTCTGATTAGTCTCTGATCAGACATAAATAGCCACTTGCCAGAATCTGATGCGGAATTGATAATTTACTAACACCTTTCTGGAGAAGTACTGATTTTCTCCGTGACTTCAACAATGTTCGTCTAAAGTTAAAAAGTCTCTCTGTTAATTTTTAATGAGAAAAGACCACCACGTTGACTCTGGGATCAAAGAAAGACCTGTTTGTTCAAACTTTGGCTTAAATACAACTATTTTTGCCCCTGCCTGCACATAATTTCTTGAATAAAAGGAAGGCTACGACGCCAAATTGGAAGCATGCATCTTCGCCACCTATTTTGAGTTCTTCTCAAATTTCTTAACTTTAAGAAATTAGTCTGGCTAGCTGACGTATTGAAGTTCCAGTCCTCCCCAACTGTATTTTCAGAAGTTGTTTTGAGGGTGGCTTGAAATGGTTTGCACAATGACCTTTCGGCTCACTCGGCCTAACCATTATCTTTTTAACCGACTATGAGGAACACTGATTCGCTGATTTTTTTGCCACCAAAATAAAATGATTTTGAACCCTTGTTTTTTGCTTTAGTCTTCTTTTTATTCGTTCTCGACACTTGATATGTGGTTTATTGAATCGATTTTTTGAATCCTTGAATCAAACTTAACACAAGATCTTTAATCTAAAAAAATCATGTTAAATTTTATTTGCAGGAGGCCGTCTTTTGCCCCACATGTATTTTCAATTTCAAAGCCGTGTTGCATCCCTTTTTTCCGGAAATTTCCCCGGTGGATCTTAGTTTCCGCTGTATGTTTTTTTTGCATTTCTTCAAGTCCATCGCGCTCGGATTGACGAAAAAGATGCATCAGCTCGGAAACCACACTTTTATCTGGCTTAAAATTGGAACTGTTAGGTTCGATTTTCGAGAAATTCTTGCGATGTTCGTCATGTTGTTTGTCAACTTCCGAAACGAAGACGTGCTCCTGCTTGTCGCGATTTACAGTGTCTATAGTGTAATTAGGGTCTCCGTCTTTTTTGTTTCAGGTGGTAGGTGGCCCAAAACATCGTTTTCAGCTGAATCTGTTAAAAATACAAGGTTAAAACGATCCCTGGGATTGATAGTTAAAAATTGTTCTTCTACATGTCCCAAATAAACAGCCAGAAACCATGATACCAATAAGATCTGGTCGGTCGTCTTGGTGAAGAACTGCGGGCTGAAATGGTGAACTGGAAACCCTTAGTAACTTTCCAACCAATCATCGATTAATTTGAGAACAGTCCTCGGGTTGAGGTTTCCGAATGATGTTTCGACCGACTCGACCAAAAAATGGTAAGTTTCGACCATCTTGACCCAGGCTTGATACGTTTCGACCGACTCGACGCCAGCTGTCTATGTTTCGACATGTGTTCGACCAGCCTCTTCGACCGGAAATCGCGAAGCCCGATCCGGGTTTTTTAAAGATATCAGAAAAACTGCAGCATAAAATTAATGATTGGTTTGCTTGGATACAAAAAAACCTAAGTTAACTGCGTAACAGAAGCTGATCGCAGTTTAAAAAGGGCCAACACTTCTAACAACAATCCTTTAAACTTTGACAGAATTTTTTCTCTCTTATCAGCTGTATTCAAGCGTCGTAGAAGAAGAGGATTAACAATCACTTATAGCATCAGAAAATAATTCATAAGCAGCTACGATAGTCTTCAAGAAAACAAAAAAAAACAAAAAGCTGAAAAAAAAACTTTTTTTTTGGACCTAACCCAAATTTAACTTCAAACACTCATTCTGTCAAACTAGTGTCAGACTATTTTGCTTACTTTTGAAGTTATTTTCTTCACCCAAACTTGTCTGGAAAAACTTCTAATATTTATTGAAATCACACAAAGACAGATTTCCTGTCCAGTTTCAGTTATTGTTCTCGAATTGGACTGCAGTAGCATAAAACACGGCTGATCAAGCAAACAAAAATTGAAAACATTATAAACACTCACATTATAGAGGAACGAAGATAGGTGGCTACTGGTCAAGTGGCACAAAATGTTCCGACCAAAGTCTTGAAAAATACAAAATTTGTTTCATTACGAGCCAAACTCTGCACTGGATAAGCGCACAATTTTGTATCTGTTTGTTCCTGGATTCCAGAGACAAGTCTTTAAACATCTTAATATCTTGTCTGAACGACCAAATGGATTAGATTGTGTATCGTAACATATCGTAACAAACAGAGAAGGAAAAAATGTTGTCAAAAAAATGCTAATCATAAAATTTCCATTTCTGGAAATTGTATGACCAGCATTTTTTTCACGGCGACAAAAAGTAACTTTGAAATTGCCGCAAAATTTTTTTTGTTGTTTTTCTTCAACCGCAAATCAAATTTTGTTCACAAAAAAAAAACATATTCTAAAAAAGATTGCTTGCATAACCTGTCCTGGACCCCAAAAATGAAATTTTTTCTGTTTCTCTGGGTATTTTTTTTCAAAAACGCTGAAATTTCTTATTTTTTATGGCATGTTTTTTATGCTTTCATCAAGGTCTGATAATTTGAAAATTTCAAAATTTGAAAATAATTTTCTTTGAAAATTTTTGCCAAAATTTAAAAATTTGATGCTTCCATTATTTTATTTGTGTAAGAAAACTCTGATACACTTCAGGTCGTCTCCGATGCCTTAAAAATCAAGCTCAAGCTTTTGGAGACTCTAGTGTTGAATAAAACATGAGTTTCGTCACTTGTGTTGGGTAACGAACACATTCCAAAACCTTTGACAAAATTATATTTTAAAAAATATCAATTTTTTTCTTTTTTGGAAAAAGGTTAGTCATACAAATTCCATATATGAAAAATCACTGATCATAGACATTTCATGCAATATTCTGTACGCATCGAAATGCATGAAAAGTGTATGACTAGCAATTTTCCATCTCTGAAAACTGTATGACTAGCATTTTTGGTCAACCTGGGTTACACAAAAAAATACTTTTTGAAAAGTTTGAAAATATTTTTCAAGTTTATTGCAGTTTTTTGAGTTTTTGAAACTTTGGTTTCTAAAAGGGAGTTAAGACACTCAAAGTAAATTAACGTTACCCAAGTAAAATTAAGTTTTTACGTTTTAAGTTAAGCTATTGTAAGCTTGACACTGGGAATTTCTTTTTCAAAATTTTTATTGTTTTTCGAATCACGATTAAAAGGGTTTCAACAAGTTCTATCACTCAACCCATTCCGATAATTATTTGTGGTAGCTGAGTTTGCGTGGAAAACAGAATAAACTAAAACACACCCGAATACAAATTCCTCCCCAATTTTCAAATGGTCAGAACAAAAATCTGAACGAAAAAAGATATTCTAGAATTGATTGATTTGAAGACTTAAAGTTCGTGCTCATATATAATCCCTCATAGTTTTCGGATGAAGCAGAAACCAAAGATACCAAAAAAAGCCATGTCATACTCACTGCTATAAAGGTGTTTTTCGAGATTCCGGGTTTTGTTTGAAAAAATTATTGACCCATAATTTAAGCCCTAGTTTTTGCCAAAATAAAAAACTCCCACAAAGCGCTGATTTTTCCGTCATGTCAACTAACGAAAAATTACAGCTTTCTTACGATTACAGTACAAATACTGTAGCTTGTAACGCGTAAGCTGTTTTGCAATAGGGGAGGGGAATGTTAGAAATATTCAATCAAAATTAATGAAATAAAAAAGACTGCATCGTTTTCAACAAAATGTGGTGAGAAACATATGTAACGTCTAATCTCATTTCAAATTGACAACAGCTCAAATTGTACAGAAGACAAAATATTTTATTCTGGTTTTGAATAATTAATTGCAATTTTCCCTCAAAAAAGAGAGCAGCCAAATAAACACCTGTTCTGAGTTTTCTGTCATCTCTTCAAAATTTAACAAACTACTTGCTTTCTTATTGTTTTTGCATCATCCAACTGGACTCACAAAAATAATCTAATCAAATTATTTATCAAAATTCTCAAAAACTCGAGAAAAAATCAGAACAACTCAAAAACATTTCAGACAAGCGTATGATTATTAGACTCTGTCTCCAAATGTTAAATTTTCAAAGTTTTGCCAACAAATCAATAATCAGATAGAAATTTTGCGGTATAAAAAAGATGAGCGCAACGGCAAATTACTCGTGAGTTTAAGTTACTTTTTTTTCTTTAAAACTGTGCAAAAACAAAATGATTTCAAAACAAACCGAGTGTTTTCAAACCCTTTAACATAATTGGCTGCAAAAGAAAGGTCATTGCGTTTTAATCGGTGAATTAATACAGTTTATAGTTTATCACCTATTTGAGACAGATGGATTCTTTAATGTTTTTTTTTGTTCAACAATGACTTAATCTTTATTATTTTGCTTGACCATTGATGCTCAAATATTAGTTTTCTAATGCTTTACAGCGAATGACTTTTTCTCAAGTAACACAAGGGGGAAGTTGTGGCATGGTAAAACTTTCCGCACACAATTTAAACGTTTTGCACTGAAATTCTGCCATAGATAATTTTTGTGCTTTCAGAGCAAGTCAGCCAATATTCAGTGCATATCGTGAATCATCAATATCCAGAATTTCCAATAAAGGTACGTCGAATAAAAATAATTGAGTACCGATTCAAATTTATTCTCAATTTTTCATTTATTGCACTGGATTACTGCGAAACATCTGCTAAAAAGCAGGGAAGAACGATAAATTTGCCCCTATTTTAATTAAGTACAATCTTGAGTCTGAAGTTTTGCTTGACTCAGAAACGTCTATAATGGTAAGAAGTAAAATGCAGAAGATTTTTTTTACAGAATTAAAAAAAAAACTCCAAAAATATTTTAATGAAAATATGAACTTTATGTTTGAAAAAACGGATGAGATCTCGTACGCGCTACCTGTTGACAATAATTGGCAAATTGACCTTTGTATTTTTAGAGGTGCTCTAAATGACCATAATGTTATTTGAAGGCGGAAAATTACCTCAAAATGAAAAGGCTAAAATTAAGCTGTAGCGGGTTACAATAGCAAGTTGATTTGTCGTTTTGATTCATATAAAATTTAGGTTACACCGGAAAAAAATCTGACGCCGAAAAGTTTCGATTTGGATTCTCCCGACAGGACCAGACATCTCTATTAGTCAAACATGTTAAATGTAAGTAATAGTTATTCCTGAAAAAACTTCGCTATTTTAAATAGCCTTTTTTCGACCAACAAGATCGGATATTTAAGTGTTACTTTGCAGAAAATGGAAGTATTGTATCAACAACGTCGTCTGCGTTCTGGGTTTGCCACTAATCTAGGAACCACGAACAACCTAACAAATCATACAATTTTTTATATGGAAAATTGCTAATCATATACTTTTCAAGCAGTTCTTTAAGTCCAAAAAAGGCATGAAAACTCTTGTTTTAATGAGTTTCCCTTTAGGGAAACTGTATACTTAGCGTTGTTGTACACAAAAAAGTGAACAAAACGAGCCTAGTTACTCAAAGCTGAAGTCATCATAATTTCAACGGTTTTCCATGTTTAATACTTTGGAAACGTTGTCAACAATTTCCTAACAAACAATATGAAGCAAGAAGCAAACTTGGATACTTTAGCAAAAATCTTCAAATTTACAAACTTTTTCCAATTTAAAGTTTTAATTAACCACGCTCTGCATACAAAATTGTTTATTGCAAAAATGTTCATTGAACAAAAAATTATCCAAAGAAATGTAAGAATTGCAATTTTTCTGTACTCAGAACTACGTTATGCACACAAAAAATTGTAATTCACAGGCAAAAATGTTTTTGTTTGGTAAATTCAAAAAAAAACGAACAACTTTTGATGGCTTTTAAAAACTTCCTATTGAAGTTTTGGTATTGTCGTCACAAATTGCTATTCATACAATTTGCATTTATAGAAATTGTATGATTAGCAGTTTTTAGCCATTAATTTTTTCTTCTGAGACAGTCAACATTACGAAACCAAACTGCGCAATGAATAGTCGCACAATTTCGTGTCTGTATCTTCCTGTATTCCAGAGACGAGTCCTCAAACATGTTCCAAAATGTAAGTGGATTCCACTTACAATTTTTCAGTGGATTCCGCATACAAATAGCTGTAACGTAATTTTTGTCGGCACATTGGTTTTGTTGCGGATTCCGCAACGAGTGAACATAGGTAGTTGTTCCGGATTCCGCAAATGCAAGCGGATTCCGCAAATGTAAGTGTATACCGCTAAGTTATGTGGATTCCGCTTACGTTTTGTGTATTCCGCTAATAATTTGCGGATTCCGCTCACAATTAGTGGAATCTGCTCAGAATTTGCGGATTCCGCTTAAAATTTGCGGATTCCATTTGCAGTTGTGGATTCCGCGACAGCTTAAGCTTATTGAACACATTTAATATTAATTGTTCACGGAGTCCACTAAATGGTTCCGGATTTCGTACATTTTGTTGCGGATTCGGCAAATTTGTCTGTTCTTAAAGCGATTTCGAGCAACACAGTGTTTTAGCTAATTTTCCGTGGAATCCAAAACAGCAGAGAAGATCAAAGAAAAATAGCAATGTTGCGGATTCCGCAACAAGTCGGATTTTTGCTTTTGCGGAATCCGCTTAGAATTCACAAAATGCACAGTTTGGCCTCGTATTGACACTTATACCAAAACAAGAAGAAATTCTTTTAAGAAACGATTAAACCATTTTTGCTAAATGTGTGAAGTTTATATACGACTATCAATATTTCATGGACCTAATTTATGGATTTTGTATGACTAGCATTTTCGATCTATGTAGGTCAACCCGGGGTCGTAATGATGTTTTTAATAATGAGTTCAGTTGAAGTTCGGGTTGTAATGAAAAGAAATAAAAATTGTTTTCTGTTTTTGAAAATTGGTGCAAATCGATAGCTTGTTTTAGAATTCTGAAATTTTTCAGTTTAGCATGAGAATACCAAGTTACCAAAGAAATCAAGTCCCTTATTGAATATACCTCTAAATATTTAAGCTTTTGCTTGTGCACTTCCACACCCCTGCCTTGTATTAAAAAAAGCGCGCCTAGTTTGCTGGACGGGGCGGAAAGAGGTAAAGAATCTTAGTTTTTAAAATAAAACGTTAAATAAAACTTTATCTTTCTTTGTAACATTTTAGGATGATTTGACAAAAAAAAATTCAACCCCTGATCACACCGCCTCAAAAGTTTCAAAAAAAACTATAGAAGTAGTTTGAGTATTCTCCTTTTAAAAAGTTTTTTTCCCCAAAAAAACAGTCGTCATAAGATAACGCGTATTGTAAATTGCTACTCTTGTGCTTCTGTTTATTTCATTTGTTTCTTTGCAACACTTACTTGTTGTTCCGACTTTCGATACGAAAGTAACGGAATATTTGTGCTCGGGGTGGGTTTTTTTTTTCTTCAGACAAATTTCGACTTTTTAACTAGCCATTTTTGACGGAATTTTTTTATATCATTCGAAAGGTATTGTTGTCTTGAGCTCAAATTTGAAAAAATATTTTACCTGTGATCATTTTTCGTGAAGTTATGGGGGTTTAAAGATTGCCAATTTGGCCAATTTGGGACAATTAACGCGCGATAAATTTTGCGCTATTAACGCGTAAGCGGAGAGTTAATCCGTCTTAGAAATCGTTCCAAATTGGTTGAAAGAAGCTTATTTGCCATAATTGATTTGTTAGAATGAGCGAAATCTATCCTGTTGTACTTTAAACGGTGTGTGGGTGGATAATTTTTATTTAAAAAATTCAAATTTTAGAAAAAAAAAAATTCCATTTTGTTATATTTCATTTAATTTTGAATGTTATTACTGCTCCATAAACCTTAAAAGGCAGTCGGAACATTCAGGGCTTCGCCCTGATACGAGCAGTCTTGTTGTTCCGACTTTCGATACGAAAGTAACGGAATATTTGTGCTCGGGGTGGTTTTTTTTTTCTTCAGACAAATTTCGACTTTTTAACTAGCCCTTTTCGACAAAATTTTTTATATCATTCAAAAGGTATTGTTGTCTTGAGCTTAAATTTGAAAAGAAATTTCACCTGTGATTATTTTTCGTAAAGTTATGAGGTTTTAAAGATTGCCATTTTGACCAATTTGGGACAATTAACGCGCGATATAATTCGCGCTATTAAAGCGAAAGCGGAGATTTAATCCGTCTTATAAATCGTTCCAAATTGGTTGAACGAAGCTTATTTGCCATAATTGATTTGTTACAAGGTGAAATTTATCTTTTTGTACTTTATATGGCGTGTGGGGGGATGATTTTTATAAAAAGTTTCAAATTAAAAAAAAAATTTATTTTATTTTATTTCATTTAATTTTTTATGCTATTACTGCTGCTCCATAAACCTTAAAAGGCAGTCGGAACATTCAGGGCTTCGCCCTGATACGAGCAGTCTTGTTTCCTTTGAGCGCAATTATATCACTGTTCCAGATTTAAAGGAAGATGGCAGCAGCACATATCAGTCTCAGTCGAGCACTGGAATTACACGAAGCAGAGACAAAACTTCAAAAACGAGCAGAGCAAGTTTTTACTCTGTTTCAAATACAAACAGCAGTCCGGAAGCTGTTCGTAAGTATATGCTGACAATATTGAAGGTGCCAATACTTCGGACCGAAAAAAAAGATTAAGTAAAAGATCGTCTCAGCTAAATTCTTTCTAACTCTGAAATTTATAAACTTTTCTCATTGTTTTTTGATAACATACTAAAAGTAAATGCAATTTTTAAAAAAAAATTGGGTCCGATAGCTTCAACTTTATTGTTGATAAAATTTTTTGCTGCAAGAAAATTACCCAATCAGAATTTGTTTATCTCAAGTTTTTTTGAAGAGTGAAATTATAAAACATTAAAATTGAATTGATTTTCAGTTAAGTAGGTCTTAATGTTTTTATTTTTTCCAAGTTTTTTTTTGCTTTTAGCTCGTGGAAGATCACTGCCCTATATCAGCCTAAAACCTTCTTCATATGACCGTAAAAATCATCTGACGCGAGAAGCTATACTGAAACGAGCCGACAATTCTCTTATGCATTTTCGAACCAACGGCGAAAACATTTCCCCCCTGATGGCGATGCTAAGAAAAGATTTAGCGGCAAAATTCCAAGCTGCGCTTGACCGAAAAAGCAATCATGAAAACTTAGCTCAAAAAGAAAACAGAACTGAAAACAACGATTTTGATGAACAAGATTCTAAACAAAGCAGCTTTGACACTATCCGCAAAAAAAGTTCTCTAGAATCGTCTTTTAATGAAGACAAGGCTGAAAACAGTTTAAAACTGGGCTTCGAAGAAAATACATTGACGCCACAAAGTAACTCAGAGAAGATTTCTAATAACAAAATTGAGGATTATAAAGAAAATCAACTGACAACAAAGCATCCGCATAAAACCTTTTCTGTGAAAAAAGAAACTTCATCGGAAAAATTACCTCAAATAAACTATAAGCTTGCCAATTTGAGCATCAAAAATCAGCCAGAAGGCAAAATCACTTCAACGAAAATCCACAACGATCTATCCAATCCAGCAAAAATTACCGATGGCGAAAATAAAATCTCAAAAAGTCATCAGACAGATGAGAAACGAAAAACGCCAACCGGAATTATGCGATCGAAAACAGAAGTTGACGGGAGTTTTTTCGTGAAAAGAAGCGTTAGTTTTTCCAGTGATTTGGAACGAATTCGTGTTATGACTCCAATTGTCAAATATAATTATTCCAAACACGAAAGGTGCTCACGGGTTAGAAAGCCGAGAAACAGCAGAACATCTCAGAGTTCATCCTCAAAACCTATATGAATTGACCATTTGATCTGTTTTTGAGTTTTGATATAACAAACAACTTTGGCAGCCTTGATTTTAAAAAATGATGCGTGAAAAGTTTTTTGTCCCAACATTTATAAAAAACCATATATCACAAACAAAAAAATCTATTTTTTTATTTTAATTTCCAAAGAATCAATATTGTCAAACTTTAGGAATTACAGTTTTAGTGATAATGCATTATGAACAAAAAAACTACTGGAAGAAATTCGAACCTGAGGGGAAAAGTTTCTTTTCGGCATTTGATTTTTTTTTTGCCACAGGTTCGAACTTGTACCAGTAGTTTTTTTGTTCACGTATTGCGATTTTTGCAAAAGCTGTCATGCAGATAAATGATGACGACTAATCTTTGGAACCTTTCGTTACATCATAAGTTTGATGCTTATTTGGGTTGATGTGGTGAGAGGAAAAAGAGCATAGATCATTTCATAACTCTTGTCTTCATGATTTTTCTGGTACAGGATCGCATGGGAATCGGATTGCCTATTCTAAATCAAACATCCATTCATGAAGTGGAATTTAATACTTTTGCAGTAACGGTAAGTGAGAAAAACCGATCTAAATTCATATTAAAAATTTTTTGAAAAACCCATCGATTCAGTTCACATTTTGACTTCAGATGGGGATAGGGCTTACCGACAGTCGTCGATCGAACATTCAAACGTTTTTGATAAAACATCCCAATAATTTTGTAGTGAATAAGAAAAACTCCTAGAAATTTGAGTTTTTTTCTCGATAAATTTTTTTTCGTTTGTATTGAAAATGAAGTGCTTTGTTTTGCGCTTTGAAACCCCAATGAACTGGTTTCAATTTTGCTTAATTGAAACTTTTTTCGAAGCGCAATTATTTGAGATTGTTGAACACCGTAAGGTCAAAAACCTCTCGTTTTTCAGACTGTGAGCAGGATTGATCCACACTTGTTCTATGTTGATCGGCAGGTTTCATGTTCATCTCGTATATAGGTATTAATTCTCAGCATATCTTAGATGAAACGTTTATAAGAATCTTTTTAAGAAACTTTAAGCCTATGTATCGTTTATGTATCGTATCTATGTATCGTATTTATGTATCATAATTTTTTGATTGGGGGGGGACTTTGCATCAATGTTTCAAATCAGGGTTTTTCAAACCAAAACTTACACTGTTTTTGGGATTATCTAGTTACCAAAGCCAACACATTTCGGATGCAAGTGCCTTTTTTTCGCTTTCTTGAGAATTTTCTTACCTGATTTTCAGCGGTGTGAAACTGAACTCAGTTTTAAATCATATATTCTTATACTTATTTTAAGCCAAGACTTACACAAATTTTGCATCAATCTAGTCGTTCACGTCTTCTTACTGCCAAATCTAAATCATTTCTGGAATTTTTAGCGTTTTATAACTTTCCCATGCAAAAAACTACAGGCGTATTTAGTTTTTTTTTCAAATCAGTCAGTGTCTCTTTTTCCAAAATTTACAATAATCCCGGGCAGCATAAGCAATCTGTTCAAAAAAAGTAACCCAATTCATGTTTTTCTTACAAATCTGCCTTTTATTGTCTTTTGGTTGGTTGACAGCCAATTTGACGATTTTTATAAAAACAAACACCTGCGAAAAACTTTGAATTGAGTGACTGCAAAACTTTGAGATAAAGTACTGCCGCAGCGCAAGAACAGATAGCGAAAGAAAGCAGTATTATAATTCCCTACCAGAAAAAAATCTAAATTGGATAGATATTTGTATAAACAATCTTCTCTATTTATCCACACGAGCTTTTTCTAAGAATATGACTGTCTTTCGTATCTGAAGTTGGATTAGGCTGAAAATCGAGACGTTGATGATCGTTGTTAACCGTAATCGTTGATTGAACTTTTCAAATCACCAAGTATTATACTCCCAATACACTCAAAATATTAATACAATGAAAGATTGTTTTTTTTTCTGAAGTTGAAGTACACTGAATGTTGATGCTCTGAAGATTGTTTTTACTAACAATATTTAATTAAAAAATCAATGACTTGCAATAAAAGAAAAGGCCACCTGAAAAAAAAAACAATTATTCAAACTGATTATAATGGGAAGAAACGGGAATCTGAACGTCCACCTCCAAAAAGTATCTTCTCAAATTCTGCCTTTTTGAGTCTCTCAGAAAATTGTTTTCAGTTTATTTGCACTTTACAGGCTTCAGTTACGAAGCATGTGCGGCAGCCACACGGAGAAACTTTCCAATCAATTAATTTCAATTCTATGCTAACCAGACAATCAATTTAGGAGGCTTTTTAAGCTTTTCATCAGTCAATTTTTGGTTGAAAATCATTCCTATAACCTACAATTTTTTCGTTCCAGGATACCTAACTGATATCAAAATAAATAAGGTCAGCTAAAATTACTTAGCTATAAGGAAAGTCAGTGAGTCAAAATTTAGATATTTTTTGGGAAGGGGTGAGGGGGAGGGAGTTTTGGATCAATGTTTCAGAACAATGTTTTTTAAACCAAAGCATACACTGATTCTGGGATTACCCATCTACCAAAGACAACCCATTTCGAATGTGTGTGCCGTCTTTAGCAGTTTTTTACCTGATTTTTAGCGGTGTGAAACGAAATCCTTTTTAAAACATGTATTTTTCTACTCTCCTTAACCCAAGATTTACACAAAACCTGCACCAATCTAGTCGTTCATTTCTTCTTATTGCGAAAATTAAATTTTTTCTGGAATGTTTTCTCATTTTTTTTTCGTTTTCTTAACTTTTCCATACAAAAATCTACTGAGAAATTTTTTTTATCAAATCAAGTTTTTTTTTCAAGTTTTTTTTTCGAATCAATCAGTTTCTCTTTTTTCCAAAATCTACAGTTCTCCGGGCAGCATAAGCAATCTTTTCAGTAAAGGCAAAGCATTTCAAGCTTTTGTTGAAAAAATTCCTTTTCATTTTTATTTGGTTGGTTGGCATTTTGACGATTTTTAGAAGAACAAACACCTGAAAAAACTTTTGATTCAGTGACTGCAAAACTTTGAAATTAAGTTTTGTCTCAGTTCAAGAACAGATAGCAAAAGTAAGCAGTATTGTAGTCACCAACCGGAAAAAATCTAAATTGGATAGAAGTTTGAATAAACAGTCTTCCCCATTTTTCTATCCCGTACCGAGAAAATTCTTTATTTCTGACCTGAAATATTTTGTATCTAATCTAATTTCTGGTCAGAAATTCTTTTTAAAGAAAGCATGGATTTTCTTTTAAAATTTTAATTCTCATGCTAACTCTGATCAGAAATTAGTTAAATTTAGGCTATTTCTCGAACCATCGACCTTCTGATTGCTAGACATTTGCTCTATCCACTAGGTTACAGCCCTTGCTAGCGTTCCCTAGTTTTAGGAGAAGAACAATGATATAACAAGTGTAAGTTTGCATTGTATTCGCTACTGCTATTGTGTATACTCGAAGCATAGTTATCTCGTTGCGGTTAAGCAGTGAACTGATTTCTGGTTATTTTTTTTCCAGAAACTATTTGTTAGTAAACTAGAGATGAAATAGATCTTTTCTGCACATAAAATACGAGAAAACTAAGCCATATAATCTATATAAAATTTCTATCTAGAAAGACAGCCTCCGTTAGGTACGGGATACTTAAATTTAAAAAAAAAATTGCACGACTTGGTTGAATGGTCTATTGCAGAAAATGTGCACAGCGCGAAGAAGCCATGACAAAGTTTTTTAGAATTTCAATTAAATGAAATAATTACCTTTTTTCTATCTTAGTAAAATGGTTCGCTTCTTTCT